CTCTCCTCTGCAGTTGGCACTTCAAGATATATGGACATACAGCTAAAATGTTCGAGGAGATCCAGATCTAACTGTCATGGAGGGGCTTTTGGTGTTCGAATGAGCCTATTTGATAGGTTTGCTAGAGTGGTTAAGGTAATATACATTCATTATATTCTTTTTGAGTATTGAAGGCTTCTTTGAGACATCACTGAAATGTAAGTTTTTTTCTTTTTTAAGTGTAGTCATATGCAAATGCGCTGATAAGCACGTTTGAGGACCCGGAGAAAATATTGGATCAAGCTGTTCTTGAAATGAATGAGGATTTGATCAAGTTACGTCAAGCTACAGCCAGAGTATGTGCTTTCATCACTCCCCTTTTACTTTTTCTGTGTTGTTCTTTATGTGGGAATATCACCTGTCGAGGATAGCAAAACTGAACTTCCATCTCTTTTTAGGAGGGGTTGGCAGCGTGCAATGTTTGGTACTCTTCTGCAAACAGTGCAAACAGTTTATACTTAATAGTGACTAAAAAGTTACATTCAGAACTTTATGCCAATAACTTGTAAATTTAGTCTTTGTAAATAAATATATTCTGTTAATGCTCTGCTTTGAAAACTCTTGATTTTCTTTTTGATAATGGCATAAAGGGTTCTATAAATATACAAAGGATAATTTTAAGCTTACATCTATTTCAAATCGTAGAATGCTTTCATTATATAACTATGTTAACATGATTATATATTTTTTGATCATCATACTTTTTTTATCCTCATCCTCTTCTTCTTCATCTCTTTTTTTTTTTTTTTTNTTTTCAATACGTCTTTCTTTGACAATTTCTTTGTTTAAAATGAGAAAGAATAACTATAACATTTAATGATCAAGGCATGTTGTACGCTGACCAAATCCCTTCTGTAGGTGTTGGCTTCTCAGAAGCAGCTCGAAAACAGATATAAAGCTGCACAGCAAGCTTCTGAGGACTGGTATTTCCATAGATGCTTTGCATTTAATTGGCTTATTTCTTTGAAATTTCAGACTTGACTTTACTTTAAAACAGGTACCGTAGAGCGCAGCTTGCTCTTGGAAAGGGTGATGAGGATCTTGCTCGTGAAGCTTTGACGCGTAGAAAATCATACTCTGTAAGGTCAATTAGTCTTGATGGGTGAATAAAAATATTGTGCAACTTTAATGACTGAAAACATTTACGTTGGCCACACTCAATTATTAACTACATGGAACTATATTACGTACATGGAACTAAATTACGTTGTTTAATTTTATAACCCAATAGTTGGTGCACTGTGTCATTAAAGAGAGTGTGGGTTAAATATTGCATGACATTGATATTGATTTTCTTGGTTCACCTTGTCACAAAATCTGACAGGATAATGCAAACGCTATGAAGACACAAATTGATCAGCAGAAAGCTGTAGTTGATAACCTTGTCAACAATACAAGGGTAGGTTGTTATACTAATTTTCTAATTATATATATATATTCCATATTTTAAAGCAACCTTTTTTTCTCTGTGCAGTTCATCATGTTTTGACACCTAGCTTACTCTGTGTCTGTTGACTCTGTTCTTATTTGGCAGCTGTTGGAAAGTAAAATACAGGAAGCTAAGTCTAAAAAGGATACTCTAAAAGCGCGAGCCCAGTCTGCCAAGTATGTTAATTCCTTTGTCTGTATTTGTAGCGCATACACACACATTATATATTGGCCAATTCCATTATCAGTTTACTGTGATAGATAACTGACTACATATTATTTAGGACCGCAACGAAAGTGAATGAAATGTTGGGTAATGTAAATACAAGCAGTTCACTGTCAGCTTTTGAGAAGATGGAGGAAAAAGGTAAAGCTGACCCACTTAAACTCTCAAACCAATCTCTGAGGTTTCATTTTCTGTTTTTTTTTTTTTAATATATTATTATTCTTAAAGTTTATCTTATTAGTTTTTGTACTTTTGTATTTTCATTTTTTTGATTAATAATAATACTTCCATTGGGATAGTCTCAAGTTTTGCAGGGAAGGGCAATAATTTTTATCATAACCACACCATGTTAAGTTGTTCGTCTATAATTTGTTATAGCTAAAAGGAAAGAAGGGCTAAGATAAAGAACAAGAGCGAGAAATATAATGTGTGAGATGAATTAATGATTAGACTACTTATCATTAATTGCTGCAAACTCATTTATCGCTTTGTTCATGTTCTCTTTTGAGCAACACAACATTTTCAGTTTGTGCGTCAACTAGTTTTCTTTTTGACGAGTACTTCTGTTGGTGTGTTTTCGTGCTCGAAACATACCGAATGGTTGATGAAATGTTTATAAATTACATGGAAAGCTTGTCACCTACTTGTCCACAGTTATGGCAATGGAATCTGAGGCCGAAGCTCTCAATCAGCTCACGAGTGATGATCTTGAAGGAAAGGTACCTTTCTGTTTTAAGTATATAGGTGATATTCTCGAGGTTAGGACTTGTTATTGATTATGTTGAATTACTTTGGCAGTTCCAATGATCTCTGACAATTAATAGTATATATTTAAAAATATAGGAAATGTGATTACCCAGTATAGCATCATATTAAAATTTCTGTTTTTGCAGTTTGCTTTATTGGAAACTTCCTCAGTAGATGATGACCTTGCTAACTTGAAGAAAGAATTATCTGGAAGCACAAAGGTAGCCTATTCTAATTTTTGTCTCATTTTCTATATTTAGTCTCTGGCTTGTAAAAGTTGTCGGAACTGGAAGTTGGATGACCAAGGCTTTGCTTGTTTATCAATTTTCTAGAAAAAAACTAGAAAACAATCTAAAATTTAACTCAACTTGAACTCAACCCATATCCTCAATATTATCAATACAATTACATAATATCATTCAATCATTCTTACACCTCACATCAACTTTAATTCACTATTCATCTACTCACATAATTTTAACTACCTATCATTTCCAATCATTTATCTCATATTTTTACATCAAATCAATTTTAATCATTTTATTTTAAATATTATTTTAATACAAACTTAAAATCCCACTAACAACTAAGCATACTAACTTTATCAATAAACTCTAGCTAACACAAAAAACCAGTAAAAAACCAGTTTTTTTTCTAGTTTTTTT